TGACGGGACTAGTCCCGTCACTGATACTGACGGGACTCGTGCCACATCAGCGCCACGTAAGCAGTCCAATTACCGTAAATTTTCGGAAGACCATAACTTGTGACTCGGGTATCCAAATCAGATGATTTTTTTTTTGATTTCACATAACTTTTCAAGATCTACGCAATGACACCTCATTTGATATATTTTATCTCCCACAAACATAGTCTTATGGATAAACACTCTTGTGATTGTGATACAATTGTTACAAATTCAAACTATGTTTGTGGGAGATAAAATATGTCAAACGAGATATCATTGCGTAGATCTCGAAAAGTTATGTGAAATCAAAAAAAAAAATCATCTGATTTGGATACCCGAGTCACAAGTTATGGTCTTCCAAAGATTTACGGTAATTGGATTGCCTACGTGGCGCTGACGTGGCACGAGTCCCGTCAGTATCAGCGACGGGACTAGTCCCGTCAGCATAGGCGACATGTTTGACTGCATTACTTTGGAAAAACTTATCCAATCAGCTTTAACCGGACAATTCTTTTATCCAAAAACTTCAAAATGGTACTTTTCCCGTGAAAAATTAAAGACAAGGCTTCAACTTAGTTTGACTTATTTATAAGGGTTTTCGTTTTATCCTTTAACATAACACAACAAATTTTCCTACACTCACAACATTTTGTGGGGCCCACACTTTTTAAAACAAAAAAATAAATAAAAAATTAAGGCACGCAAAACGAATCTCTATAACATTACACAATCACTTTTCCTACAACATAACTATTATAAAACCCTATTTATAATTATAAATATATTTTTTCTAAACTCACATACGTTCAAATGTTAAGACTATAAATGTATTAAATTATATATTTCTTCGTTAGAGAAATAATAATCATAGAACTTACTCAGTTCACATATAATTACATCTTTCATGTTATCTAGCCGGAACAAAAAAAAATATTTTCACTACATTCAATTATCCTATTAGAGATTCGATTCAGTGACATAAAAATATATTATTTATTATAATAATATATTAGGCCAGTTCATGGGCTTTCAAGTCAAGCCTTATTAAATTAGGCTTGAGCTTGTTTGCTAAACAATCTTTTTTCAAAGCTTGAACCTGTTTTATTTATTAAATAAGTCAGGCCAAAGCAAGCCTTAGCCCTTAACAAGCCGCTCAGCCAATTTACACCTCTAGTCTTAGTGCTTATTTGAGATGTCTTATTTTTAGTTTATCTTTTCCTTAAAAATAGAAATTTAGCCAAACATATTTTTATAAAACCTCTTATTATAAAAAGTTTTTTATGTAATGAAGAAAAAACCTAAAAGTTAAAAGTTTCCAAAATAAGTTTTCTGTAAGATATATGCGGTTTTTTTTGACTTCTCATATTTATTTATAGTTTTACCTTTTTTTTTTAAAATTTGTATTTATAAATTTCATCATTTATCATAATAATTAATTCTAATAATAAATTATTTTATCTTTCCTCCTTAAAAACTATCAGAACATCTTTTAACTTTATTTTTTAAGATTTTTTTTAATTTTACTTTAGCTTTAAAAAAAATGTCAAACGGGCTCTTAGAAGTCATTATGGTTTACGGTGTTATTAAAAGTACTCATTAATAGTTCACCAGTTCACCAAAATATTATTAACTAATAAGGGAGATATACTTCTTATATAACTGCAAATGAATTTTTCTTATACTATAGATTCAGTTTTTTTTTTTTTTTTTTTTTTTTTAAAAAACACATGGTGGGCCCACCATATTTTCATTTCTGGTGCAGAAATTCAAAATTTGCTGTTGCGGCAAAGATTAAAATCCCAACAAATAAATATAACAATAAATATAACAATAATGTCCATGAGTGTATCTCAATTGGCAACATGTGGAAAGAAAATATGGATTCAATTCCGTAACAAAGAGCTTTGAAACTCAAAAGAATTGAAGCTGATCCCAAGAACCGACTCGCCTCAAAGAGATAATTGGGTCAATGTACTAAAAATAAATAAATATAATAATAATTGCATTATAACAAGTTAATTTAGCTTAGTGATTGAGGCAAAAAATTAAAATATTGATGTTTTAATAAATAATTACAAAAATATAGTTATTTTGAATCAATTTATGGATCTATTGTTCATTCATGTCCAATTTGAATGACTATTCACGCCTAAGTTAGGCGTGGCCCAAGAGGCATTCATGCCTTTTATATGCATGACTCATCTGATGTTGACACGTAGCATAAAAAAGTCAACAATTTAACCGTAAAACTTCGGGAGGGCATAATTTTTAACTCGAGTGTCTGAATCAGTTCCATATAACTTTTCAAGATTTACGCAATGATACCTTATTTGAGATATTTTATCTCTCACAGACACAGTTTGAATTTGCAACAATAGTACTATAAGAGCGTTTAAACCCAGAAACCTCCAAGTTTTTGCCGAACCAAAATAAGTCATAGAATTCTTTATTTAATGATCTAAAATCAAAAGAAATTATACTCTAAATTTTGTTTTCACATTTTGTGAGGTCATTTTTAAGAAATCAAAGTACTTCACTTTGGAGGAAATTAAATGTTTTTCTGTTTTGCAGTACTCAATACGTTTTAGATATAGACTGACCCAAAAATAAGTCCTTATGCAAATGTGATATGTGGATTAATATAATAATCCATCAAAGCAATGCATTATACTTACATTTCCAAAAAATCATATATGTTTAGGAAAAACCAAACTAGAAAAAAAAATACTAAAATAGTTTTGACATTGCTATTAAAATCATAATAGACTAGTCAATTCATCTAAAGAATACATACAAGAACTACTAAATCACACACCTATATATGTTTGTAGTAATGCATTCTTCGACGTCTATAATAGTATAATTCACCCTAAATTCTCTTATCAAAGCATGTTTCAGAGTATAAAGTTTACCAGAAAAATCTAAGAGTTCCATGAAAAACCTGCAATTGGATGTCACAGTTGTAGTCATGAAGTTACAGAATGTTAGAAATTAAGAGAAACAGAACATGGAGAGAAACTTTTATATATTTTTAAAGCAATACATCAAAAGTTTTGGATTTTTTAATGCAACTTAAGGAATATAGAATTCATGTATATATAAAAAAAGAAGATAGAATTTTCACCAATCTCTCACACATATTATATTCTCACCGATCTCTCTCACACTTTTATATTGTGGCACTTTTTTCTCTCACAATATTATACACTATTTTTTTTTCAAACACTTGATAGAAAGTATATATTTTACTATGACATTAAGTATCCTTATTTATAGATAGACTAACCCACTTTGGTGCTATTTTTAATTTCAGACCACGACTTACAAAATAAGGTATCAATTCACAGTGATAAGAATACAACCCAAAGGATAGGGACAAAGATATTTGATGTGGTTGGAATATATTTGATTTTCTAAGTTAAAATACTAAGCTTTAAGGTCAAAAGAGCATATTTATCAATACATTTTATGGATTAATTGTTAGTTTTTCATTTTTAATGTTATTTCTCACTCAAGTTTATATTTGGATAGGAATTTAGCATGGAAAAATGAGAATTTGCGCAGAAGGAAAATTTGGATCAGATGGGCGGCGCTATCAGCGCCGAATAAATGAATTTTCAGTGAAAATTTCGCGCCATCAGCGCAGAAGAAGTATGATCGGCGCCATCAGCGCAGATTAATTCAAATTCAGTGCAAAAACGGCGCCATCAGCGCCGATTTTCGAGCAGGAAGACACCGTGTTTTGAACGCGTGCGAGCAAAATAAAAGAAAGGGGGATCAGAAGACAAAGGGGGACAGACGGAGAGCTTGCGAAGAACTTCTGGAGCTTTTTGCGGAGATTGATCTTGGAGATTATTTTCTCTTCCTTTGGAATTCAGCTATTCTTCTTCTTTTATGAATCATTGTAATTCAGCTATGACCATGTCTGGCTAGTTTCCTTCATTGTGGGTAGGGTCACAAACCCTATGTGAACCTTTTGTTTATTCATGGATTGATTTACTTTTCGCTCTTTAATTTAATTGATTTATGCCTATTCTGTGCGTATTGCTTATCGTTTATATTAAATCTGATCAGTTTAGTATTGAATGTTAATATGAGGGTTAGAACCCTAGATATGAATATTGGGGTTTTGGTCCAGAAAGGGGCTAGGATAATAATTAACATGCGTGCTAGGAATAGACGCATTCTTGATTACAAACATTTAATTTATCTGTGTTATGCTTGATCTCAATTGAAACATTGCAAGGAATTGGGGTTCTAATTGTGATTAAAGGGCTAAATTTGCAAGGAATTGGGGTTTAGCTAATAATTGTTTGGATGATAAATTGTTTGATTGTTTATTTTAATTGAGCATTGTGAATCAATCCTTAGTAAAAAGAGGGGATCATAGGGCGAGTGTACTTACCTGCAATATCTCTCATATTTTTACCTAAATCATTTTTGCATCATTCTCTTATTTTAAAATCCAAAAATACGCCTTTGCCTTTAATTTCTATTATTCTTTAAATCACTTGAGTTTCATATCTCGAGAGGACGTTTATAAAATATTCGCTCACAATCCCTGTGGAGACGATAACTTACTTATCACTTTATTACTTGAACGATCGGTACACTTGCCTGTTTGCATCAATATTCTAATAGACAAAAGACTGTGTTTGGTGTTGATTCGAAAAAAATTAGGAGGTATCATGTGTAGATCTCAAAAAGTTACGTGGAATAAAAAAAAAAATTACCTGATTCAGACATTCGAGCCTTCCAAAATTTTACAATTAAACTGTAAACTTTTTTTGTGTTACATGTCAACACCAAATAAATCACGCCTAGAAAAGACATGAATACCTCATAAATCATGCCTAACTTAAGCATGATTGAATATAATAAATCCGTAAATTAGTTCAAAACAATTATAATTTCATAATTATTTATTAAAACAATATTTTAATTTTTTTTTCCTGGTGATTGATGTTACAACCATACTAACTAGTCAAACTGGTTTACACGCAAGAGCAATAAATTAGACAAGAATTTTTATTTTTTTTTGAGTCGTTCGGCAAATCTGCTAAGATAAATACAGCTAAAAATAGAACACGATATTTGCATTAGATTCGTACTATTGTCAAGAATTTAAACTATATACAGCAAAGAACGGTCAGTACATTTGAAATCCATCAACTTATCAACATTGTTGGTCAACACTACCCCAGGTGCGAAGACAGATCCATCCTTCAAATTGCGGCCTTGCACCCCTTCGGTCAACAAGCTACCAGCTGGAACTTCATGTTTAGCAGAGGACCCTGTACTGATATTGGCTAATGCAACAAACATTTGTTACTTTGGAAAGGCTGCATAAAGGCTAGCAGTAGTTGACTACTGGCCGAAGTTCCCAAAACAGGAGCCTTTAATGTTTTTCCTGGCACTTCCACCACACATTGCAAAAATGCAGAAATTATTAATAACACTGCTGCTTTATAAGGTACTGCCTGCAGCCATAATTTGGAGCTTCAAATCGAATTAGAGGCGAACGTTCTTACATCATGACAGTACTTAAATCACAAGGTCTCGAAAGAGTTATTTTACCCTGATTTTTTCTTATACTTCCCCTGCCCCAGGCTCAACAAGAAGTCTGTAAATATGTGTTCATATTCTGGCATTTTGCCATATCCTGCAACAATTTCAAAACTATTTTCAAAACCAACAAAAAAGTTTTAAACAGCAAATGTTTTTAAAGGAAACTCTACAGAATTCCCTAATATTCTTACAAAATTGAAAGAATATAACCAATTTGTGTATCAGAAAAGAAAGTCAAGCAAATAAGACCACATCGAAGGTGATGATTATACATAAAAAAAAACAAAGTGGTAATATCAAAAGAAATAGAGAAGTGCTAACAATACATTCTTAACAAATTATTTAATGAAACTTTAAGTGGATGCCACTAAATAGTGTCTAGGCTTACTCTTTATTAGTGGAGGCAATATACTATTTCACCCAATAATAAGAGTATTGCTAGCACTTCTCAAAGAAACAAGTACATAGCAAGATCTTTTATATGAAGAAAGATCTCCACTTACCAGGGAAGTAGTTTATGTCAATGACGTAAAAGTGATCTCTAGTTCCATACTCGCGGATAATGTCCAAGTTGAATAGACGAAGACCCTGGAAATGAGAATAATGATAAAGAAGCATAAATATAGACTTAATAGTCTTGTATCGATAACATGAAGCCTTCAACCAAAAGGATGAGAAAGTTACCAATCGCCAACGAAGTTCCTTAGCCAGTTTCTCAAGTAAAGGTCTTGGAGGAAGCTCTGAAGGGAGAAAAGTGATGTAGAAAATCAGAAGAGAATAGCAAATGCAGGGAAGTCGTGAAGACCACCCAGCCCCATATTAGTTGGACAAATTATGAATTATATAATCAAACAGATTATGAATTAGCATTTTGTTTAAAATAGATTGACACAAGGAAAGTATAAGAATTACTACATAATTGAAGAATGCTTGTTTTGGGATGAGTGAGGAATATATCAACCCAGGAGAACCAATCAGGAACTAATTTCTGTTATGTTTGTGCATGGGCTGGGACAAGGAAGACCAGGTTTTCTTAGTAGGGCTCTTTTCCCCTTCCTTTTAGGGAGGAGAATGTGAAGGCCAGTTTTAGTTTGAAAAAGTGAAGGACTATAGAAAGCTTTAGGTTCGGAAGACATTTACAACATGATAACTTACCAGCCACAGTGGGGTCCAGATCTGCATCATCTGCAGAAGCTGCAGCACAAGAAACCCTTGGAAAATTATATATGCCTGCATCTTTGGAGAGCTCCCACTTGCTAACGTCAGGTAATGAAAACCGTCTGACTACTTTTATAGCATCACCAACTATATAAACCTTGAAGAGAACACCTCCTGCAACGGAAAGAAAACAGATTTTGCTATTATTATGATGGGGTTCCAGCCATTTAAGAGTAAAAAATTGCTAAATAAAAAGCAATTGCTTACCATGGTTGACGAATTCCTGAAGAACAAGAGGAGGTTCAAGATTTTGAAGGGAATACTGCTCATACGCAAGGGATAATTCATGTGACTTTGGACTTCCATCAGCAACCAGTGGCTTGGCAACTAAAATGATTTTGAAGATGCAAGCATAACAAGGAAAGTTCAAATTAAGCTCATTACAAAATTAAGTAATAAGTAATCTGATCAGACACAAAAAAGATAGCATTACCATGCCTATTTTATAAGTTCTAATGACTTTGCCTCAAAAATACAACCCTCGTAACAATAAATGCCCAAGCGTCCATGCTCTGAGAAATCGCATAACTGCAGCATCTAAAAGTAGTTGAAAAACCAACATATACATACCAAGGGGTAAAGTCAAGCCAGCTCTGTTGACCAACTCTGGGATGGCTGATGCGTCTCTCTTGACAACTAATTGCCGAGGGACACCAACTTTGCCTGCATGGATATTTAATAGCGGAAAATTCATTAGCGAAGGACTCAACATGACTGAACATACAGCTTCACGTAATAGCAATTCCATCCCACCATACTTTAATCACGGTGGAGAAAAGATAAATTACCATAGGAATCAGAAAGGTTCATATCCGCAACAGCCTGAAGCATGTATTGACGATTGCGTAAATGTTGTATGGCATCCGGAGGATCCAGAACAGTAACTTCTGGGTGTGATAGCCTATAATCCTAAAATATAGCCAGAAGAAGTTAAGAACTAAGAAGAGAGGTCACTGCTTCTCGAAATATTATAAAACTAACTAAATAGAATAGGCACTGAATAAACAGTCAAACATGTGCAAAGACAACATTATTTTTCTCCAAATGAATTCTCAGAATATTTATTCAACTATAAAGCATAGTAAGATGAAACAACGATTTGATTCTCAATTATAAAGAATCCTTAGTTCAGTTCACATTTTCTCCTAAACAAAGAAAGGCCTCTCACAAGAAACATGCAACATTTATGTTCCCTTCAGAATACACTACAATCAACACTGGAATGCAATGTCCAAAACTCAAGTCATAGAGCATAGAGGACATCTTGATTCAACTCTCATTCATACAAACATGAAAGCTTAACCCTAATTAATGACCAACTAACCATTAAATGGGGAGTTTCACAAATTATTTAGAAGGCACTACAGAATATGTTTATGATTGTTTTAACTTTAAATTTGACCAAGATATCAGAGAAATAGGGTCCATCTCTATTGCAATAAGACCACCAAATAGAAGAAGAAAAATGCTGAAGAGAGGAAGACTAAAATTTTTCTTTTCAAAAAAAGAAGAGAAAAAGAATTATATATAGGCTTGTAACAAAACAGGTTTGAGCACTAATTGGGGTTAGCAGAAGAACTAGAAGTGATTTAACTGAACTAGAGTCATGTCACAGACTCACAAGTATAAGCAAATGACAAATTTCGTGGACTATGCGTTAATCCTATTTTAATCTGTCTTAATTTCTGTAAGCCTTCCCTATTTCAGGCAACTAGGGATTGGTATCTATACTGTGCATGTCCCAACTGTAATTCATAAAATAACTTCAGGACCATGGCAACAGGCAAATAGAGACTCTTTTATTTGGCATTTTACCCATTATACAATGTATAAAAAGATGGAAATAGGAAAGTACCAATTCATATAAGTGCCACAAGTACTACGCAAATTGTCGGTAGAATTTTAAGCATTAATTCTATTAGCATCAAAATAGAAAGCATTTTATCCAGAAAGTCAAGCTAAAGTAAGATGACAAAAGGCAGTTGCAACAAATCACTAAAATTGAAAAGATGGTGCAAAACTCCTGCAATTATTTAGTAACTATATATATTCAGTTTTACACATATATCAAATAAAAAAGCATAGCATGTAAAGTAGCGATTATTACATCTTAGGTAATTTTTATGGAAGATTGTAGGTTTCTGCATTTCTTAATCTATATCTTCCTCATTCAAACAATATGGTTGAATCAAATTCAGGGCTTGCCAGAAATTCCCATAAATAGAGATAGAAACAATAACTTGGACGGTAAGGCTTATATTTCACACTACAGTACAAGCCGAGGAGTATGACCATCTACCAATCTTGATTAATGAAAGGCATGTGATAGTCACTGTCCTTCATGTCCACTGATCAGAAAAGTTAGGGCATTCTCTCGCAATGTACTATAGGAACTCGGGCCATTATAACACCTAAACCCAGTCTAGAAGTATAGCAAACACAATTGCCTAGAAGATCAAAATATAACAACGGAATAAATAAAGCATCTCAGCCAACCAAATGTGTATCGTTGCGTTTGGAAGAATCGAACCTACCTAAAAGAATTAAAAAAGATATCTTTCGAAAAGATTTTCTATGTAAAACCTGACAAAGTCAGCTAGATGGCCATGAAAGTAGAAACATCCTCATTTACAGGTTTATGATTCATAATGAGAGATAGGGACAATGACTCTGCAAATTGTGTCAGGCAGGAAGTTAAAAAAGCTAGTCGTTGACCAGCCTTTCTGAATTTTTTTCATCCCAATTGGCATCAAATGCATAAGGAAGCAAAACCAGCTGCGAGCATAATTATTATGGTTGATCAGCAGAATAAAAACACATGCTATGTCATGCAATCAACTTTCCCAAAAGTTTAAGCTATTAGATGAAACCAAATGATAGATTTTACATATTATACATACAAAAGCCGATTGGGCATGAAAGGTGGACAATGCATATACCCACTTAGTTATGCTAAGAAATTCCACAATATTTATTAGAAGATTATTAGATAAATGAAAGGCAGCAAGGATCAAACTCTGGACAACTTGGTCAGGGAGGGTCTGATACCATGTCTACAGCTAACACTCCCAAAAGCTTAAGCTATTAAATGAAGGCTAACAAATGGTTTTATATATTATATTATATTTCTAACATGCTTGAAAAAAATAAAAAATAGGACCAACCTCAAGAACCTGGCGCCACTCTCTCCCACATAACTGCATTTTCCAAGAAACAAAAGGAAAGAATCAGTCTCGGATGAACATAACAAATAATCACAAGAGCATGTGATATGGGAACTGCGAACAGTGAGCACAATATATTGAACTTTTTCTATGTGAACAGCAGGTAAGAAGCAATAAAGAATTATATTAAAAGACGAAGAAGAAGAAGAGAAAAGACGAGGAAATTCAGGGCAGGAAAAACTATAACCTTATGCAACACGATATCAAAAGGACCTTGATCTGAAAGAGACCTATTATGGTCTATAGCTACAAACAGTATCCCCTTGTTCCTGCAATAAATTTTGTAGGAATTGTAATCAGTAACCAAGCGAGTACCTGAACATAGTACAATCTACATAGTTCAAAGGCAACCATATATCATGGATGAATAGAGTAGACCACAAAGCTACAATCCACGTACCAAAATTTGTAAGGCTCAAAGACAAATCTACGGTTTTATGACTAATTCAGAAGACAGAGGTCGTGATTTTATTTTATTTTTTTATTTTTTCCAGGAAGAGCACGGTTTTCTATATTTCCCATGAAAACAACAAAAATTGGTAAAATATCTTCCTGTTATTATGAGATACTCCGAATATCACAAAATTTTCCTTTCACTTAGTCGCCAACCAAATGAAAACGACGCACGTTGGAAGAACCTTATTAGTTGAAAAGAACCAAACACAAATGTTCTCTTGTCCAGAGTCGAGTGTGAATTGATAGCTACTTTTTTTCTTAAATAAAAATTCGAGACCAGAAATAATGAATTAAACGGTGTTTGCTTGCGATATTTACAGAAGAGTTTTTTGGTTTACCTAGCTAAACCTTCAAGCTTAGGCTGCAAAAAGCTCTTAATCTTTTTAGAAGTAAGAGCATAGCCAACAACAACCACTCTCTTGGGAGAAGAAAATCTAGCATTCACAACCGGACTCCATTGATTTGGAACCATAGTTACCTCCTCTACTACTTCCTCTTTCTCAGCACCGTCCTCCCTCAACCTCATACTCACACCTTCACACACCAAAACCTAACCCTAGCGAACTTTCTCTAGAAAATTTCCAGGAAAAAAGAAAAGAAAGAGTAACAGGGATTCGAAATCGAAATCGAAATCGAAATCGGTGTTGGTTAAAAGAGATTGGAAACAAAGAAGGGGAAATTGCTTGGCGGAGAAAGAAAGAGAGATTTGGAAGAAGCTTGGAGGTGGCGTTTATGAAGGCAAATGCAACGGAACACTGAGAGTGAATTGAATGGAATGGAATGAGGAGGGACCGCAAAAGGGGTATATATAGAGAGGATGGAGAGAGTGTAAAGAGAAAGAGGTGTTGTATTGTGTGATTGTGTGATGCTGAGCTGTAGAGAAGTTTGGTAGTATATTACCGGTTTTGAAATTGAACTATGATCATTCCACGCGTTGGAATCACGCTGCGCTTGTGTGGGTGATTGGGATGTTCTCTTCTTGGCCTTAAACATTATCAGGTTATCTTGCACCAGCCACTAGGGAGCAAAATATTGGATTCTTAATGGATGTTCTCGCTACTAAAATTTTTTACTATTAACTTATTATTTATTTAATCATCATTAAATTAATATATTTTCTCTCTTTAATTTTTTTTTAATATTCTCTCTCTTTGATCCAACGATGATGTGATGGGCAGTAAGTTAGTAGTGAGAATTTCTAGTAGTTAGAATATCCTCACTCGTAATTTAAATACATATTACACCTAAATTTAATATTTTTAGATTAGTTATAACTTATACATACTTTTTAATAATATATGTATAATACATGAAATATTTTCTAATTTTAATAATATTTCGTTAAAATTTAAAATGTTAGTTTTTAAAATTATGATTATAAATGGAAGAATTTATTATTCTTTTCAGTAAAAATTTATTTCGGTATTTGAAAATAAATTTTATTCTCTTTATTCTTCTAAAACAAACTTATTTATTCTCTTAGAGATAAATTTGAACAATTTATTAGTTTCTAACACTTGAATTTCTTAATTTTTTTAATATCTTCATTTATTTAAGTTTAACAATGTTAACTTTAAAAGTTCAGTTATAATGTTAAAAGTTGATAGAAAATTGATCTCTGATAACCAAGTTTTATCTCAAATAAATACATAGATATTTCAACCACCAAAAATAAATAAAAAAATACATTGATATTTCCAAATGAAATATTATGGATACACAAATCAAAAGTAATGCATAAAATTGATGAACATCGTTCTAGACTAACTGACTGAGTTGTATTTGTTATGTCATTTTTTAATGTTAAAGCTTTTAAAATTAATAAACTAAATAAATAAAGAGATGAATTTTTTTTGAGACTAAGTTAATGAACTTATATATAAAGGACGAATTAATAATTAATATATTTTTCAAACACTAAATAAAATTTCACATCTTTATTTTAATTGCATCATGCATTTTCGAGAATCTGATCCGCAAAAAATATATATGGCTCTTGGCTATCCGGATTTCAACTTCTTAAATTTGGCCTCAATGTCTAGATTTGGACTTATATGTGTAATAAATAAAGGACTGATTTTCTCTTTTTAGTTACCATTTGGAATATTCTTCCAAAACACAGTAGATGATTCAACGTAAATTCAGAACTGATCTAAAAGCCAATCAATGAACGCTGAATATCTATATAAGAATAGGATATTAACTTCGAGTCTTGAGCATGTAATAATACTTCATAAAATTTGGGTAGAGAATTTTATTATTCTTGTGATGTATTCGGTTCGAATTAAATTAAATAAATAAATAATCTATCGACAAAGAAATTTAAAAATATAATAATATCGAATGGAAAAGAAAATTCCTTTTTTATATATTTTATTATTTACATTTTTTTATCAACTTAATTTTTATACAATGCTCCTCACATAACTAATTAATTATCCTATGTTGACATTCAATTAGCTTATTACAAATATTTAAATTTACATAATCCCAAAATCGTGAGATGTGGTTAGATTAACAACTTTAATTCCGTATAAGTAACTTTACCTATAGCCTAAAGCCAAAATTATCTCATCCAGCCAAACAAAAATCAGTCTCCCAACTCCCAAGGGTAGCTCAGTTGGCAGCTGAGCTCCCAAGAGATTGTTTGGTGCAGGAATCAAACCCTACCTCGAGTAGTTTCTTAGAAAATTTTTGGGGGCCAGAGGATAAGCCAAAAAATCTTCGGTTGGGGGATTAGTCTCGTCCTTTCTCCGGTTGCGAAGCTTAGTGCACCCACTGTTACAATGAGGAGCTAGCCCAAACGAGCCGTATCCCGAGGGCATGGTGCCCTTGGGCCATACCCCGAGGGCATGGTGCCCGAAAAAGGTTGAATGAGGATATTCCTGGCAATGTACCAAAAATAAAATAAAAAAATCAGTCTCCCATCCTTACTTCATGGGAGAAAGCATGATATACTCCAATTTCAAGAATCAAAGTTGTTATTACATGATACTTTCTCACACTACTTTGTGCATTATGGTTTGTTTATATTAAACAACTATAACTATTAGTATTTTACATAAAATAATATGTATATAAGTGTGTATAACATTCAAAGAATAAGCATTTTATTCTTTAAATAAAAAGTCAATTCTTCTCTTCTTCTAAGAAAAAAAATAAGCACTTTTATTTTTAAAGAAAATGAGATAAACCAAAAACACGGGAGATTCTCTATTCTTTAGCCAAAAAACATGAGCTGAAGCATATTTATCCATGACGGAATATTCCGCAAAAAAGAATTAATTGCTTTCGGGAAATTCGTTTAAATAAAAAGACACTTTATTTACCAAATTTATTTATGTATGCTGCAAATCACAAGAATAAGATGCCAAACATATAAAATAGACGTTTATCTATATATATTCCGTCTTATTGTCTTTGTTTATTATGCTTGCATATTTTATAGGGGAAAAAACACTAATTTCAATTCTTTGAAACATAAATGACATTACTCTAATCTTTAAAAATATAATTATTTTAATAATAGAAAATGTCATTATTTTGTTCTTTAATCTTAAAGTGATATCAATTTAATCAGTCAATAATATCAAATGACATTATCTCAATTTTATTAATGATATTCATACGGTTTGTTTATAATTTTTTAAAAATAAATGAAAAACATAGTATATAAATTACAGATGTACTTTTTCTTTCGAAAAAAAGAATAAATGAACAATACTAATAATAATATCATATACGAAAGAGATTGGATTTAGATGCAAGGACGGAAATAGAAAAAAATTAGGATATGAAAATAAATAAATAAAATAATATGGATGGAAATGTCACAATTTTTTTTTTTCTATTTTGAAAAATGGAGCACCGAATACAAGTGCTTCCGAACCATTTTAAAATTCTCCATCTAAGGAGGCAGTGGGCAGGGTGGGTACCCTGGCTCCACCAGTTTCAATATTTTTGCTAATAGTAAGTAAAATCTTGATTAATTTATGTTTGATTCCCAAAACTTTACTCCTTTTACATATTATATGTATAAATAAAAACTATGTTAAGCTGATTACCAAAAAAAAAAAAAAAAAAACTATGTTAAGCTCACAATTTCTAGATTTACAAAATAAACACGAAATATATAAAAAAAAATTGGGTAGAATGAAATATATAATCTTAATTACGAAATACTTCCACATATAGCGAGGATATTTTATGGTTATGATTTTTATTATAGATATTTAGAGTTTTATAATATTTTAATTCATGTATCTGATAAAAATCAAAGGTAAAGGATTTTTCCAGTCAATAGAGATAAGTTATCTCTCGTAAATCTAAAACGACGTCGTTTTGGGACGAAAATCAAGGTATTTTTGTAATTATAATATATTGTAATGCTATATTAGTCTTTATCATTATAATTTTTTAATCGCATAACCCTAAAACAATGTCGTTTTGAGTTCAGGAGATAACTTTATGTCCGGTGACCGAAGAAATACTTTTCTAAAAAATCAAAGGTTTTATGGTATTTGGTGGAATGAAGCGTATTTAGACAGGAGTTTTTAATTTGATTCCGTCGATGATCATTTGTAAGTCCGTAAGAGTTGTCAAATGGCTAGGTTGGCCTTAATATTGCTCGCGCTGCAGCGTGTCGGCCTAAATTGTTCTACTCACATAATTAAATTGTAACATTTGATTTTACTTGTAAATTAGAAATTATTTATCTTTAATTTAAGTAAAATTTATAATTAGAAGTTTACATAAAAGCAATCTAAATTATAAGAGATATATACATAATTAATAATTAATCTAAAAAAATTAAAAATATATATTAAAAATATTTAAGATTACAAAAAATATGCATAATCAATTTATTTTTTTTAAAAAATTATTTTAGAATTTGAAAGAACATGTGTCATTTTGTAAAAAATATTAATTTTGGATATTAAGTCATTCTCAAAAATAAAAATTGATATCTAAAAATTTATTGATTATTAATAAATTCAGATACTATACTTATTTTTACTTTAAATTTGAAAACATTCTGAAAAATAAGAAATTAAAATAAAAGAACAGATAAAATAAGAAATTGATATAGAATAAATTACGAATAAATAATTTAAGCATTGTATTTGATTGAAATTGTATTAAAAATAAATAAATTTGAAAATATTTTGAAAAATTGTTAGAAAAACATAAAGGGATAATAATTACTTAATAACGAAGAGAGTACAATAGAAGATATTTTCAATCTCAAAATGTATAACTATTTTAAGGGTGTATAATTAATTTAATATAAAGTGATAGAGAAAAAAAGGAAAAAAAAATCCGCATAAAAGGAAGAGTGTGAAAATCAAATGACTACTCAAAGTCACCGCTAGGAACCGCGTTTCAAATAATCATTTATGCTACAATTAAAAAGAAAAGTAAAACTTTAAGCAAACACTCTAATTTATGAACATGCTTAAGAATTAGGTGATTGTTTTCAGTTGCAACAAATACGTTTATAAATCAAATGATTAATCAAAAAAGTTATTGCAAAATCGTTCTAGTAAAAATTAGGTTTTCCACCTAACTTTTTTTTTTCTTTTTTACCAAAAAAAATTAGGTGGAAAACCTATATTCTTGTCTTCTTGCTCGATCATCCAGCTGGCTGACGATAACGATCATTTTCATATGAGTTATGTTAATTTTACAAAAAAAATTCATAAGCCACACAAAATTTTACCATTACCGTTTTTTATCTCTGATTTTTTCTCGACATAATAAATGGAAGTTAAACTCTGTCGTTTTGCCTATATT